CTTTGTGTTATTTACTGAGGGGGACAGAGCTGATATGGTGCAGTGAGGGGGCTCCCTGGGGGGGATGGGATGTGGGACCTTCTGCTGCTGCTCCAGCCCAAATCCGAGCGCTCTCTCCGGGCTGTGTCCCACCCCAGCTCTACCAGCCTCTCCGCCTGCGGGTGGCCTTGATTGGCTTGGAGGTGTGGAACCACAAGGACAAAATCACAGTCAGCCCCAACCCGGAGGTGACACTGGACAACTTCCTGCACTGGCGGGAGTCGGAGCTGCTGCGGAGGAAGCCCCACGACAACGCCCAGCTGATCACGTAAGGACAGGGGGGACACCACCTCGCCACCCTCCCGGCCCTGCCGCCTCCCGGGGCACTTGGCCATGGCATCTCCATCCCACAGGGGCATCGACTTCCACGGCAAAACCGTGGGGCTGGCCAAGAAGCTGGTGATGTGCACCAGGGACTCAGGCGCTGTCAGCCAGGTGGGTCCCCCTGCACGGCAGCATGAGGGACCTGGCACCAAGCCCCACTGGGCCCTGTGGGGACATTGTGGAGAAACCACGAGAGCATTTCAACCACCATGCACTCTCTGTCCCACAGGACCACAGCACCAACCCCATTGGCGCTGCGTCCACCATGGCTCACGAGATGGGCCACAACCTGGGCATGTCCCACGACGAAGACGTTCCCGGCTGCCACTGCCCCATCTCCAAGGCTGAAGGAGGATGCGTCATGGCAGGGAGCGTCGGGTGAGCGAAGGAGGAAGGGGAACATCCCTGGGCAGCAAATGTGTTGAGGTGTCGTCAGGCACTGTCCCAGCAGGGTGAAACCTGCGAGATGGGTCAGGTCTGGGTGGGCATTCCATATTCCATTCCACTCCACCCCTCCCCACTCCACCCCACTGCAGGTGCCTCTGAGCCTCTCGATGTCCCTCCAGCTCCTCCCTGGGCTGGTGGGCACCAATCTGGGCTCACGAGCGCCTGGTTTTGTGCCCTCCCCGCCAGCCTGGTTTACCCGAAGCTGTTCAGCCGCTGCAGTGAGCAGGACATGTGGCAGTTCCTCGGGGACCCCCGGACCAGCTGCCTGCTGAACGCCCCCCGCGCAGACGAGCTGTACGGGGGGCCCGTGTGCGGGAACCAGTTTGTGGAGCGGGGAGAGCAGTGCGACTGCGGCTCGCCGGAGGTGGGGAATGCTCTCCATTCACTAACTGGGCTGTGTGTCCCCCTTTATGTAGCTGGCTGGGATTTTGGCCTAGGAAAGGTGGATGTTCCCCCTCCCTACATGCCCTCCAAAGAAGTGGCCCAGGAGGGGACATCGTGGCATGTTGTCCTTCCAAGAGCTGCACTCAGCTGTTCCTCATCCCCATAAAGGCGGGGAGGGGGTGATACAGTTGGGTGATGTCTCTGGGACAAATCCCTGGTCACAGCCTGTGCTGGGAGCACAGAGATCCTCCCGTTTTCTCCTTCCTGGAGATGTGCATGGATGCCCAGGCCAGGCCCCCTCCTCTGCAAAAATCCCTTCAGGTCCTTTGTTTTGGGGTTGGCAATGGGGGTAAAGAGGCAGCAGGAATGGTTTGCACCCGGGATGATGCTGTGGTTTTGCCCCTCCCGTGGTTCAGTCCAGGGTGGCTACAGTGCTGTTGGCACCTGGTGATGTGGCAACCTGGTCCCCCAGGGAAGTGTCTTTTGGGGGGCTCCCGGGAGGTTTTCAGTCCACCCCTGTCTTGCAGGAGTGCTCAGACCGCTGCTGCAATGCCTCCACGTGCCAGCTGAGACAGGGAGCTGAGTGTGCCCAGGGGGAATGCTGCCAGGACTGCAAGGTACTGCTGCCCACAGGGGACCGGCTCGTTGGGGAAAGGAGCTGGTGGGTGCACAGAGTACAGTGCCAGAGTGTCTGGATCCATGGAATGCTGGGAGACATTTCCCAGACCAGTGTTTGCTGTGCCGTGGTGCCTGCATAGCTCTGGAGCCGTGAGGGCATCCCCAGGCAGCGCTGGCATCCCCTTTTTCCGTGCAGGTGAAGGCTGCAGGCGTGCTCTGCCGGGCCAGCAAGAACGACTGCGACCTGCCCGAGCACTGCACCGGCCTCAGCGCCGAGTGCCCGGAAGATGTGTTCCAGGAGAACGGCATCTCCTGCCAGAATGGCAACGGATACTGCTACAACGGGGGCTGCCCCTCGCACGGCGAGCAGTGCCGGGCGCTCTGGGGTGCAGGTAGTGGCCCCCTCTTCACCCCACCTGCTGGGGGATGTGCCTGGAGCCCCTCGGGCTGTGGTGCCCTCCTGCGTGAGCTGGGGCGCTGCTGCTGGTCCTAAAGTGCGGCCACCGGTGCCAGCGCCTCCAGCTTGCTGCGTCTCCGTGTGACCCTTTCCGTGTGTCCCGCAGAGGCCCAGGTGGCTCCCGATGTCTGCTTTAAGCACAACAGCGAGCATCACCTCCACCTGCACTGCCTCACCGAGTACGGGAAGCGGCCCTGCAGCCCCAAGTGAGGAGAGGGATCTGTGCGGGGTGGGGGATTGTCCCTGCCCGGCCGAGCTCCCGCACCGCCGGTGCTCAGGGCCGCGTGTCCCGCAGGGACGTGAAGTGCGGGACGCTGCTGTGCCTGAGCGACAACTCCAAGCCCATCCTCGGCAGCGGCTACTTCTCCTTCGGCCACTACTCCTTCGGCCGCTTCAACTGCAAGGCGGTCATCGCCGACGGCGAGGTGGCCGCCGAGCTCAGGCTGGTGCCCACGGGCGCCAAGTGCGGGGACGAGATGGTGAGTGCCGGGGCGGCGGGGGGTGGGTGACCACGGGGACCCGGGCGGCCTCAGAGCCCCCTGCCTGCCCCGGGGCAGCCTCAGAGCCCCCCCTGCCCGCCCCCAGGTCTGCTACGCCGGGCGCTGCCAGAGCCTCCTGGTCTACGGCGACAAGAACTGCTCGGCCAAGTGCAACAACCACGGGGTACGCTGTGGGATCGCCCTCCCGCAGGGCTCAGCCTCGGGGCCGCCAGCGTGCCCGCCACCCTGACGCTCTCCTCCCTCACCCCAGGTGTGCAACCACCGGCGGGAATGTCACTGCGACCCGGGCTGGGCAGCGCCCTACTGCGAGCAGGAGATTTCAGGGATAGCCACAGGTATGGCACCCCCGGGAGGGAGCCTGGGGAGAGGGCTGGCACCCACCGCAGTGCCGGGAGGTGCTGCATGTCCCCGGGCGTGTCCCGATCCCGACACAACCGCCCTGACCCCACAGGGAGCAGCAGCGTGATCCTGGCGGCCGTACTGGCCGTGCTGGCACTGGCCGGCACCCTGCTGGCCTGCGGCGTGGTGCTCCTCAGAGCCAGGAGCTTCCAGAAAGGGTAATTCCCTCCTCCCGTGCCCCGCTGCGGGGCTGAGCTCGAGGGGTACCTTGCCACACAGGCACCACCCCCACGCTGTCCCTGTGCCCCACAGGAGCTCTGCCACGGGCCTCGCCAACCCGCTGTTCCAGGAGGGCGGCCGGGCACGGCCTCCCCGGCGGCTGCTGTCCCGCCAGGACATCGGCCAGCCCAGCCTGGTCAGCAGCACGGTGGCCCCGAGGGCAGCCTGGGCCCTGGGGCCCCGCTCGCCCAGCCCCGTGCTGACCCTGCGGCCACCCGTCCCACAGGGGACACCTCCGGCCTCTCCGGGGCGGCCCCCGCAGGTAACCACCCCTCCGAGGCGGCCCCCGGCCCTACGTGTGCGGGGTGGCCTTGGGGGGCCCTTCCTCTGCCCCCTGTCCCTCTCCGGGTCCCCTTGGAGCCCAGGTGAGGGACTCGGGTCTCTCCTCCCGGCAGGCGAAGCCGAAGCCGCCCAGCAAACCTCTCCCGGCGCTGAAGGGCAGGGTGCTGTGCCACGGCCAGGGCCCACCGGGACCGGCCCTCCCACCGACAACCCCCTCGGCCCTCCAGCGGGGCGTCCCCCCAAAGGTGGCCCTGAAACCGCCCCCAGCCAGGAGGTGACCCAGGATGCTCCGTCTGCCACCACGGCCGGCCCCGGAGTGGCACAGCTGGGCGGGTGGCACAGCTGGGCAGCCACCATCTCACTTCCACCCTTACTTGAATTGCCGTCCCGACCCTCCCCGGCGGGCACCAGTGTTTACAGATCCTCGTTGTGCCTTACTGGACTCCGCAGCCTTGTGGCTGTCCCAGGGAGAGCCGTCAGCCGGGGCTTCCCAAGGAAACCAGGAGCGGGACAGTGCCAGCTCCGGTTTTGATGCCAGCCCCGCGTTGGTCCAGGCTCTCCCGCGCCCTGGGAGCCGCTGCCTTCTCTCCTGACGTCCTGAATGTGTCCTGATCCTCCTGCCCCTTCCCTGTGAGGAGCTCCTGGAATCCCTGGCAGGAGGAGCACTGCTTCGTGCGCACCCCATCGTGGGAACACTGCCCTGCACGGGGACATCACACAGGGAGATGTCACCAGAAACTTTGGCAGGTCCAAGCCAGGCTTGGTTTCCCCACGGGGCTTTTAATCTCTCAAGTTATCCCTGGAGTTACTGTTCTGAAAGGGAATTCCCTGGGAGCCTTTTTACTGCAGCCATTAATTTATGACCCTTACCACTTCAAGCCACCTGCTGTGAAAACAGGCCTCCCATTTTTGATATAATTTCGGTTTAAGGCTTTTATACCAATAAAGACTGAAGGTAGTGGTGTCACAGGGTGTCTCTGGGCAGGAGGGGACAGCGGGGTGGCAGCAGGTGGGGAGCTGTGTGGGGTCATGGGAAGGGGAGAAGGGTCAGAGCTGAGCTCCCCAATCCTGTGCCAGAGCAACAGGGGCCAAACAGCAGCACGTTCTGCCAGTCACACAGAGGAGGCTGCCCAGGGGCTGCAGGATGCTGCAGTGAGTCCCCCCCGTGCTCAGCACCATCCTGGCTGTTGTTTACTTTGAGCACAGGCTGCTCATGGGGCTCCCAGGGTGGCAGTGGTTGCAGCTGAGGACATGAGTGAGAGGTAGAGGGGGACCCCACTCCACGTGCCTACAGTGACACCAGCCCCAGGACACACACAACCATCCAGAAAAATGGTAACAAAATAATTTTATTCTGCTTTATCAAAAGAACTTAACACTGTGAATGTAAACCTGACCATATGTATCGTGTTTCCTTAAGGAGATGCTGATCCAGGGGCACACCCCTTTAGTCACAGGCGCACACAGGCCCTTGCAACGGAGAGAAAAGCCAGTTCTAACCCACAGTCCCGTGTCCCTGCTCACAGCTGGGGCTCAGAGGGAAGCACAGCCCACCCTGGGGTGCTAAAGCCACAGCAATCCCCTCCTGCATCCCTACTGGGGCTTCTGCAGCAGCGGCTGGGCAAGCAGGCAGGGAGGGAGGGAGGAGGCTTTTGCAGAAGGCACCGAGCATCACACAGGCTGCTGCAGGACTTGGGAATAGAGGAGCATCCCCCAGGGTCCCTCAGACCAGGCTGATATCACCCAGCCAGAGCAGGGGGACACTGAGCCAGTGACAGCCACTCAGGGTAAAGCCATGCACCCACCTGGATAGTGCAGGGAGGCCCAGCAAGGCTCAGGTCCAGAGGGAAGCAGCCCTTCCTGCACTGGCCTGGAAGGTTTTCCTGCTCCCTGCACGGGCATCTTGCTCTGGTCGCTGCAGGAGAGCTGTGAGCTGCCTGGTTACTGCTCCCAGCAGTTCCCCATGTGCCCCTGTCACCTCCAGGCTGGCAGAGCCTACCCTGCCCTCCCATTCCGGATTCCCAGAGTGTCCAACCCCAGTAACACCCGGAGACAAGCCTACATCCCTGCCAGCATCCCATCCAGCAGTGCTTCTGCTCTATAAAGCCTGCCCTCCTCCCAAAATCCAAGTGAAGTGGGTGCTGCCGGGGTGAGGAGAGGCCGTGCCCCTGTGCCAAGGGCCTGCTGCACCACTGAGGAGGTGGCAGCTCAGAGATGTGACTCCACTGCCTCCCCAAAGCCCTTCCCACGGGAGGAAGGGGACCCTGCAAGTCAAACAGCACCTTCCAGGAGATATTTCAAACACCACAGCTACAGATTACGCTGCCACTTCCCCTCCACACCGGTGCCCCGGGTCCCTGGCTCCTGCCATGGCTGGGTTGGAAGAGGAGCTGCTGTTGTGGAGCAGAGCACCAACTGGGCCTTGGGAGTTTGCAGCCAGATAAGGGGACAGAAAGACCACCTGAAGCTGCTGCCAAGTCCCACAGTTGTATACCACTCCCTGCAGAAGGGGCAGAGCCAACACATCCCTGCTCTGTCCCAGACAGGGAGGACAGGGAGCCAGGGCAGGAGCTGAGACAGCACAAGGCACCACGTGTTACCAAACCTCCTTGAGACACTGCCAACCCTCCAAGCTGAGCCAAGCGTGGTGGGAACACAGCACTGCAAAGCCTGAAGCTCACACAGCTCGTCTGGGGACATCATCAGCACAAGAAAAGCTCAAGCCTCTCGTTTGGGGTTGAATGTTTCACTGTGGCAGAAGCTGAACGCGTCCCTCCCGTTGTCGTCACGAGGCTGCAGATGGTGCCGGGGACACAAGATCTCCACAGGCAGAGTGCCTGGAGTGCCACCACAGAGGGTCTTCCTGCCAGCACTGCTTGGGAGCAGCCTGAAGTCCTGCACTGCAGCAAACCTGCCCAGGGATGAGGGGACCAGGGACACACTCTCACCACGGCTGTTGAAGGACACACGAGGAAGCTCCCACTTCTTAGAGCAGTGGATTTTGCACAGGGGAGCAGCGATGCCTCACCTGCTTTGCAGCTGAGGTGTCAAACATCTGATCTGCTGCACTGCAGGGTCCCCTTCACTCTTCTCTTCCCCTTAGTACTTGCCAGCATGGCAGAGCAGTGGCAATTCAGCCCCTTTTCCCTGTTGACCTACAGGAAGGCTGGGATGTGAGCAGAGATTTCCCAAGGTGGGATCTGGGCAGAGGTTTCCCAAGCTGTGTTCCCAACCAGCTGCTCCGAGGTGCTCCTGAAATCTGGTTTAGGATGCAAGGTGAGCCCCAGCCATGCAGCTGAAACACCCTACAGGTCAGTCCCAGGCAGCCAGTGCGAGGCTCTTGCTTGGAGAGGGGAGTTGCAGAATCCCGTCAGAGATCGCTTGCTCCAAGTCGTTACCTAGTGTTGCTGTCTACAGGAATATTATGGCTATGCAGATCCTATTCCAGTAACCTATTCCACACCAAACCATTCCTTGCCCTGAGCAGGAACACGCTGGCCAAGGAGAACCCACTCCACTGGAGTCCTTGAGGAGAGCGAGAGAGTGAGCAATGGTAGGAACTGCCTGGAGTCCACAAAAGTGAAGCTTCATCGGCGGGACGAAGGAAACCTCCTCTTCGCTCGGCCTCAGCCAGGAGCACTGGGAATGCGCAGGGTGCAGCAACACAGCACTCAAAGCCACATCTCCTACCTCCAGAGCAATGCCTGCTAAATAAACTGCACCTACTCCGGAAGGCTTTTCCCGGCGCCTGTCTTTTAATATTCCAGTATAGGTATGTTAGTACAGGATTATCCCTCCTTTGGAAGCACCAATTTAACAGGGGAAGAAACGGAAGAGGCAGAGCCCTTGCAACCTGTTGCCAGAAGAAAATCAACCCAACTGCCACCTATACACAAGATGTCCAGGCATGTGCTGCGTCCGCCCCACCAGCCCGGGGCCACGTCCCTGATCACAGCCGGGCTTTGCTGCTGAGCGACATCGGGATTCCTCCTGCCCTCGTCAGCCAGTGCTCTCCTTGGCTCTGAGGTGGCTTTCTCCAGAGGTCTCCGGGGCCTCCTGTGCAGGAAGGTTGGTTTCTTGGGCAGTCCTCGGGCTGGCCTGCTGGAAGGCACAGGAATCCAGGAACACGCCGGGGATGCGGTCACCGAAGTACAGTTTGCTGTTGGCGGCTATCGCCTGGTACTTCATCAGCTCCAGGTACTCAGGGGTCAGCTTCAGCTACAGAAACAGAAACCAGGGGCTGTAAGACACAACCTTCTGGGTGCTGCACCATTAAATACCGTGTCAGGCAGCCACCCTCTGGGATGCAGGCTGTGAAATCAAGCGTTTTTCCTGTGCTGCCCACCTGAAGAGAAAGAGGCAATGAGTCCCGTCCTGACCAGCTTCCCAGTGCTCACCTTGTTGGCATCAGCCAGCTTCCGAGCAGTGTAGTACTCAGCATCAGCTTTGGCCTTCTGTCTTGCCAGGAACGCAGCATCTAACACGGCAGCAGAGGATGGACAGGAAAAAAAGCGTTAGGAAGTGAACAGTCCCACCACACTGAGCACCTGAGCCCTCATCCCGTGGGGAACAGCTGATCCAGGAGAGCCTGTGACAGCCTGGACGGCCCTGCACCTGCCCCAGGGCTTCCTGGAGCGTTCCCAGTGCACAGCATCCACTACTGCACCCTGGATGAGCTCTGCAGGACGGCCTGTGAGCCCAGTTCTGAGGTTGCCCAACCTGCCACGTCCCCCTCAGCTGGAAAACAACCCCAGCAGCGCAAGTCACCTTCAATCTCGGAGATCCGCTTCTCCGTTTCCTTCTCCATAATCTTCTGTTGGTAGTGAATCCTGGCCACCTGTGCAGCCTTCTCTGCCTCTGCAATCACAACAGGCTCGGCTCAGGAATTTGCTTCTCAGGGTTTGAGCACCAGCACCCCGAGCCACTGCAGGATCTGCCACACCAGGAGTCTGTTCCCTGCTCCCTCCCTTCCTGCCCGGATCCTACAGTGCTAGCCTGCACTCCAAGCACTACAGTTACAGGAAGAAAACACAGTGCTGATGCCTCTGGAGCTGATATCCCATTTACCAGGGTGATTCCCCTGGCACACTGAGCTCCAAGCCCAGTTTCTCCAGCAGAGTGGCTGCAGGACAGAGGTGCTCACTTGCTCTGCTGCCACGGGAGGGAGGTGGGACAGAGATACAGCAGCAAAGGCACTCAGATTTTCAAAATCTGAGTTTCAAAATCTCCTGGTGCAGCCTGGCCGTGCCTCCCTCAGTTAGCAGGGAATGCAGGAATGGAAGCTCAGCCACTCCTGGTCACATACCAATGATCGCTTTCTTCCGGTCGGTCTCCGCCTCCTTCTCCACCACCTTCTGCCTCTGGGCTGCAATCAGCAGCTTGGTCTTCTCAGCCTCCCTGCAAGGGGAGAAACGTTACCCTGGGGAAAGGGAGATGGGGAGCAGCTCTGCATCTGAGGGCAGGAAAGGCCACAAGCAGCTGCCAGCGCCCTGTTCAGAGCCGTGGGACCAGTTCTGTCTGCAGCTGTGTGAGCACAGCACAGCCAGTGGGCCAAAGGAAGGGATCATCCCCCTCCCCATCTGGCACTGGTGAGGCCACATCTGGATGCATGTGCAGTCGGAGGCCCTCAGGACAGGGAGTGAGCCCAGTGCAGGGCTACTGGGAGTTGGGTTGGCTCAGTCGGGGACAGGGAGGCGAAGGGAGATCCAACAGCATCTGCCCCTGCTCCAAAGGGGTCCCAGAGATCCTGGAGGGGAACTTATAGGCAGGATATCAAGACCCCTGAGCCCTGATTTCAGTTTGGAAACGGAGAAACAGAATCCACAAGTGCATCTGGCCTGCCTAGAGCTCCCCCCCTCACTCTCTGAGCACCAGGGAAGAGCTTTCTAACAGCACTGTGCCTATCCTGGACCCTCAGAACTAATCCATACAACTTTATGTCCAGCTACTCACATCAGCTCAAAATTTCTTCGGATGGCCTCTGGAATTTTGGGTTTTGTAACACGCACAGCCTGTGAGAGAAGGAAAAGGGAGCACGTTTAAAAATGAACATTTGGATGCAAGCTGGAGGAAATGCCTGGGCAAGAGCAGCTGGAGTGCTGTGGACAGTGAGTGGTGCCTAATCCTCCTCTGCAGCACAGCTGGGCATGGCCACTCCCACAGAATTGTCCTACATCTGGATTTCCTGACAGCCATTCCAACCCACTCCCACTAGCCCAGGTTGCTCCAAGCCCCATCCAACCTGGCCTTGGACACTTCCAGGGATCCAGGGGCAGCCACAGCTTCTCTGGGCAACCTGTGCCAGGGCCTCCCCACTCTCAGTGTAAAACATTCCTCTTTCAGTTTAAAAACATTGCCACTCATCCTGTCACTACAGGCCTTGGTAAAAAGTCTTTTTCCACCTTTTTCATAACTTTATATCAGTTTTATATAAAACTTTACTCTTTATATACTGAAAGGCCAGAAATAAGGTCTCCATGGAGCCTTCCCTTCTCCAGCCCGAACAATCCCAACTCTGCTGCTTCTCTGGACAAGCAAAGAAAGCAGATTTATGGGACATCAGACCAGAACATCCTTCAGTGAAGGGATTGTTCTAAGCTCCTACCAGGAGCAAAACCTCTCCAAGCTCCCACATGGAGAAAGTTGACCTCACCAGCCACTGTAGGGTACATTCTTTCAACCTCTGCACCTAAACAAAGATCCTCACCCCTTCAAAATGGTGTCTGGCGAGTTCAGGCAGATGGTAACATGGTTAAATTGAACGTGATTTTCTAACATTAAAAGGAAGCAGAAAATCACTAAAACCATTCCTCTGCTCTTTGCAATTTAAAGCCAATACCTGCAGGTCTGTCACTTGTAAGGTTCTTTTCTCTGTCCTGCAGCTCTTTCCCTCACATAAACCCAGTGTTTAAAAGCCATCACCAACATCTGGACAGTCTTCAGCTGCCAAACCTCAACTCAAGGCTCAACTATTCCATGTCACGTGGAAAATGGAAGCAAGAAACCTATTCAATCCAGTAAAAGAGGTGGGAAAAAAGAGCAACCTTTATCAGGCAATGAACTCACCTGGATAGTGAGACCTGGTGCCATGACATTGAGGTCTTTCTGCAGGGCCAACTTCAGGTTCTCATCTATCTGATCTGTGTTTGGAGGACAAGAGAGAGACTATTTAGCTTATCACCTTTTCTCCTACAGCTTCTGTGGCAGAGTCAGCTGGCCCTGAAGAGCAGGATGTCTGTGGTGGAAGATAAAGATGTAAGTACATTGTTCCTGTGCCCCCTGGCAAATGTTCCCAAAAGGAGAGTCACATGCTGGTGTCTGGAAAAGTTCAGTTATTCATGGATTTATGGTATCTGAGCTAAGGGCAAATGGTTTTAAGGATCTCAGCAAGAGTGCCCAGAGCCTGTGGCAGGAGTCTATCCCTCCTCAGCATTCAGACTTGGAATATCTTAACATTAAAATTCTGACAACCTTTTGTCTGCCACAAGCCCATTTTCCCCTGCTCAGCCACTCAAGAAGAACACAATATTGTCATGTCTTTGGGGCACAGGTAGGTACCAAGGAGAACATGACCTGTGCTAATTCCTGAAACACTGCTACCTTCCTTAAAAAAATCTTCCAGCCCTCACTTGTTAAAAACAGCCAGAAGGAAGCTGTGGAAATACAAAAGTGAATCCAGTGGTTGGCTGTAACACATTCCAGAGCACAACGGGGAGATTCCACATCCCTCAGTGGGATCCAGCATCCAGCTGCCATCCACTCACCAAACAGCTCGATGTACACCTCCTGCAGGGTGTGGGCACTGCAGAACTGATTCAGCTCGTGGTGGATTTTGTTGAAGATCAAGGTCTTGTCGTAGTCTGCGGTGTAGTTCCTCACGATGTCGTACACTGGGGAGGGAAGGGAAGCACCAGAGGTCACCACTGCCCACACAGTGCTTCCTGCAACACCAGGAATGCTGGGAAAGGAGCACTGGGACAGGGTGGGGGGCACCTCCATCCCTGGGAGTTTTCAGGACTGCCCTGCCCAGCTGTGAGAGGGAGGGAGCTCAAAGGGCCCCCAACCGATGCTGGTGGGATTACAGAGCAATCATGGCAAGACACACTGCACAGCCCTGTTCTCACAGCCCTGTTTTATCACCTGCACAAGAAAATGAAACAGCAAAGCCTGTCCAGGGCCTGCATGCACGGGAACAGTGACACTGGAAAGTGAAACCAAGGATTGTTCCCACATTTTACACCAACCCTGTCCTGGGCTGCAGCAAGAGAGAGGACCCTTGAGCACCTGTCATGTTTCTAAACATACAGGGGAGAAGCAACCCTAGAATTTACCTTCATCCTTGCAAACCCCTGGCTCTGCAAACAGCCTGCAGGCACGTGCATGGAACTAAGTGCTACAGGACTGGGAGCCAAAAAGGTTACAAGGAATGGGAACAGACATGGAAATTTTCCAGCCACGGATAATGGAAGTCCTGCAAACCAAGACAGAGCTGCTACAGGACGAGTGAAGGCAGTCCCAGAGCTGCCTGTTGAAACAGGATGGGAAATACCTGCATAAGGGGCCAGCTTGTTCACAACTTCGATGCGGTCAATGTAGATCATAACACCCCCACTGCAAGGGAAAAAGAGGATTCATCAATCACCACTGCAGCTGTTAACAGCTGACATGAGAGCAAAGTCATCTTTACCACACTTTTACTCAAAAACTTACCCAGGACAGCCCTGAGTTCCTGAGCATTTTGCAATGAGAGGGCAGCAAACCCCAGCTTGGCACAGACAGGTCCCTCTCTCTGCACAAAATCCCAAACGTGCTCCAGCAAGCCTGAAAAGCACCATTCCCTTCATTCCCTCTCTTAAGAACCTTTCCCATTATTTTAAAATCTTTTCTAGGCCTGTCAGGCTGCACAGGGAGTTATAATGGTAGAGGATATGTGATTTTCTCCATCTCTTCTGCACTCTGTCCCACCACTTTGAATAAAACTACCACTATTTATCACTGGAAGTGACATCCAACAGCATTCCTTGGGATCTTCTGAGCCTTTGCAAACAATGCTTGAGCAACTGTTGGGGAAAGATAGAAATACCAGACACCAGAGGCAGATGCACATTCTCCCTGCTGGAATGAAATGGTTTTTGTCTCTGAGGTGACAACTGTTTGGTGGAAACAGTCCTCTGGTGCCAAAGGATTTCAAAATCTGTATTTCATGTGTTCACTTCATGCTGGTCAGTTCTAAACGGGACAGGTAAGGCAGAACCTGGGGATGGGACACCCACACAGGCACTCAGAAGCTTCCTGATGCAGATGAGGACACAGGCAACAGGAATGTAAATACGGTGGAAAAGAAACCCAGCCTTTAAAAGCTGATGGTTTAATATACAACTGCAGAGACTCAGACTGTTTAGAACCTGTCCTTGTAACGGGCTTTGAACCAGGACAGTGACATTTCAGGTTTGACCCACTTGCATTTAGAGGCTAATGTTTTACTACGGAATGGTGGATTCCAGGTTTTGGCATCGAGCAGCTGCAGCCTTTGGATTCCAACTGCAGCAACCTGAAAGGCTTCCTGGCAGTAACACCTTAAAAATGGACAGGGCTACTGGGACCTTTGGTCTGAAGTGAATTCAATTATTAACTAGGAACTGCTTTCACCAGCTGTTTGGTGTTTCAAAGCACATTTATGGCCTGTACCCTTCACAACCACCTGCATTGCACAACTGAAGCCCACAACACTGAAACACAGCAGGAACGTCACAAACTCACTTGACAGAACTGAATATTCAGCTCCTAAATCAAAGCAGCACAGAATGGGGGAGGCCAGCAGGGATTTTCTGCTTGGCCTAAAGAATGTTTACACCACCACAAGGGGACTTTGGATGAGGGCCTGCAGTGATAAGACAAGGGGGAATGGCTTCCCACTGCCAGAGGGCAGGGTTGAATGGGATATTGGGAAGAAATTGTTCCCTGTGAGGGAGGTGAGGCCCAGGCACAGGTTGCCCAGAGAAGCTGTGGCTGCCCCTGGATCCCTGGAAGTGTCCAAGGCCAGGCTGGATTGGGCTTGGAGCAACCTTGGCTAGTGGAAGGTGTCCCTGCCCATGGCAGGGTGGAATGAGATGGTCTTTAAAGTCTCTTCCAACCCAAACCATTCCATGATTTTATGAAAGCTGCAGCACTGAACATTATTTACAGATACTCCTGAAAATCTATGAGATGTGAAACTAAAACCATGAGACCTTTATTTTAATATTTAAGCCCATGTGATGTCTGATGCCCCAGGAGAGAACTCCAAGAACTCATTTCATTACAGGTTAAACCTGATCAAAATTAACTCTGCTTTGTTAATGCTGTCGTTTCCATTCCACTTTTAATTTCAGTGTGGTCACTGAGTGTCATCATCCAAGTCACGGGGATTTATTTTTTTAAACAGGAATTTTGTTGAGGACACTGGTGCTAAAAGACAAGGTGAATCACCAGGGGCTATTTTACCCTGAAGAAAGAGATCCAGTCACCACTTTAACTTGTGGATGAACCAACACAACAGGATCTGCAACCCAACTCAACCAACCCTCTCCTCCTGCTGCTGCTCTGCTCGTTAAAACTTAAGCAGGTCTGTGCTGAGAAAAGAATCAGCTTAATTATGAAGCAGGTATCTCATTTGGAAATGAACCCTCTCCCATCAGGAGGATTCCCATTCACCACTTGCTTTTACTCTCTGGTCAGCACTTCTACCAGCCCCAAACTCCAGACTAGAAATATCTGAGGGCAGACCAAAGCACAAGCAATGGGGAGTCAGAGCAACTGAGGGGAGAAACCAAGAAAAATCAAGGTAATATCACAATGAATGCAAACACCCTCTGAGCAGCAGCTGCAGCAAAAGCGAGAGCACTCCCTCATGTACCTCCTACCTCATTTTAGGGCACGTGCCTTTACTTCCCAGCACTGTAAATGACCCCACAGAGTGCATCTGCTCAGCACCAGGAGAAACACAGATGAAATCCCTACCTTGTCCCACAAGGCACATTTTTCACTTCATCAGTCTGCAGCGTGGTCTGAAACACAAAGACAGCCCGAGCTCACAAACCGCTCCGCTCTCCAGGAAGGTCCTGCTGCGCCCAGGCTCTCCCAACAGGAACACGGAGCCACTGGTGCATCCTCTGCCTCCCTCGTGCGTGGGCAGAGGACAAGGCTTCTTCCCACCAGCCTTTTGTGGGGCAGACAGGCAGCTGTGCCTGCTTCCCTGCTCCCACTTCCCACAGCACAAGGTCCGTGGCTCTCCTGGGAAGCAGCGATGGCCACAAACACGGACCGGCCTCCCAAAGCAGGACATGTCCTGTCCCCAGCAACTCACACACGTGCTGGGCACCCCCACCCTCCCAACACCTGCTCTCCCCAGAGCAGGGGGTACCAACCTGCACGGATTTGAAGGTGGTGATGAAGGGGAGCATGATGTGGTAGCCGGGCCCGCTCGGGCTGGTTAACAACGCGCCGCCCCTGCGGAAAGGGAGGAGAACAGGGAGAGGCTCGAGCCAGCCTGGCTTCGACAACAAGCAGGGGACGCTCAGCAGAGGTCACAGCTGTGGGAGTAAGAATTACACTGCTGCCCAAAATTTGCCACCAATCCCCCTGCAAAAGGGCTGAGTGCTCCTGCTGTTCGCCTGTGGCAAGCTGGCAGTCGTTCCCTGGAGCCCTGTGAGCAACTAACCCTTGGAGGAGGCAGTTCCTGCTAAAGCCTCCCAGCATTGCAACATTGCAGAGCTGCAAGAACACAGACTTTCCTCTCTAAATAGTTCTCTGGTAACCATGGAAAAACCCAGCAGTGGACTGTGACGCTGCCAGTTTGGATTTCCACGAGCCCCAAAGCACGGAGAAAACACCCCCCCCTAGGGTCTCGAGCTCAACACGCTTGGGATTAAAGGAAAATGGCCCATGGGGTTAAAGAAAAACTCAAGGTGGTGAGTGGAAAGGGCAGGGAGAACGTTCCAAAGCACCAACAAAAGGGGTGCTCTGGCTGGGGGTGGCAGTTTGGGACAGAGGTGCTGTAAGAGGGAGAGATCAGCAGATGGGAGGGGACACGGGACGGGCGCTTTGGTTCTCTAAGCTGTGAAATGCAAACCGTGAAAAGGGAAGGGAGGGAGGGAAGAGAGGAGAGGGAGGGAAAGCAGCTGAGGATTCAGAGAGACCCAAACTCCCAAGGGTTCTGCACAGAGCCAGGGTGCCTGGGACTCAACGGGGAGCAGAGACAACACGGGGGGAAAAACCGGGGGGGAAAGGGAGGAGAGAGCAAGCGGCGGTGCCAGGCGGGTCCCGGCGGGGGCAGCAGCTGTACCTGTAGTACACGGCCAGGTGTCCCTCCTCGACCCTGTGGATGGCGGAGTAGAGCAGGAACACGAGGAGCGCCGAGGCCGCCGCGGCCGCGGCCCCCGCCTGGGCCATGGCCATGCTCGCATCCCCCCCCGCCGGCACCGCCACCGGCACCGCCACCGGGACCGGGACCCCGCCGAGAACGGGCCCTGCCCTGCAACGGGAACGGCCACGGCGATAGCGACAGAACAGCCGGGATCCGCCCGGGATCCGCCCGGGATCCGCCCGGGCCCCGGCACCGCCCCGGGGAGTGACCGGACCGCGGGACACCCGGGACACGTCCTATCCCTCTCCCTACCCAGTCCCTATCCCCAACCCATCCCAATCCCTATCCCATTCCCAAACCCTGTCCCTATTCCCTATCCCGTACCTGTCCCGTTCCCTATCCCACTCCCATCCCGTACCTGTCCCTATTCCCTATCCCTACCCCAATCGCATCCCGTCCCTGTCCCGTTCCTTATCCCTGTCCCTTTTCCCAATCCCAACCTGTACCTGTCATGTTCCCTCTCCCTGTCCCTATTCCCAATCCCATTCCATCGCTATCCCTGTCCCTATTCCCAACCCCATCCCGTACCTGTCCCTATCCCACCCGTATTCCCAATCCCATCCCCTACCTGTCCGTATCCCATCCCTATTCCCAAGCCCAAATCTATCCTGTCCCTATCCCATTCCTATTCCCAATCCTAATCCTATCGCCTACCTGTCCCTATCCCATTCCTATTCCTATTCCCAAACCCATCCCCCACCTGTCCTTATCCCATTCCCAATCCCATCCCGTACCTGTCCCGTTCCCATTCCCATTCCCAATCCAATCCCATTCCCGTTCCCATTCCCATTCCCAATCCCATCCCGTACCTGTCCCGTTCCCATTCCCGTTCCCAATCCCATCCCGTACCTGTCCCGTTCCCCACGTGCTGCCGAGGCCGCGCTGCCGCCCCCTCCGCGCACGCGCGCGCTCGCAGGGCAGCATGGGGGGGGGACGGCGGCGGCGCTGACTGATGACGCCACTGCACCCCCAAGCGCGTTGCCTGGCAACGGCGTGAGGGCGATGGCGGCGCGGAACGAGCAGGCCTCAGGCTGTCCCTCCGTCTGTCTGTACGGTTTATTACTATACATTCACGCGACACGCGGCAGCGGCGGCACCCGCCCGCGACCTCCGCCTTGAGGGCGCTCCACGGGCCGGGCTCTCGCCGCTCTCCCGCAGGCGCGGCCGGTGAGTGAGGCACTGAGGGGAAATCCCCGCCCGGGAAGTGGAGGCACCTCCGGAAACAGCTCGGCAAAGGCTACGGGACACGCGCTGACCCACGGCCCACATGAGAGGCACTTGGGAGATGCAGCACCTCGGCTCCTGTGGCTACTTCAGCCAGCTCCAGTCGAAACTCTGCAAGGAAAGCGGAGGAACAGCTGAGTGCAGGATCCAGCTGCTGGGTGTGGGTCTTGTGTGATGTTCCCAGGAGTTCACAAAGCACAGCATATCCCAAATCCCAGAAGCACAGAATGGGGGAGGCTGGGAGGGATTTTCTGCTTGGCCTAAAGAACCTTCACCTCACCACAAAAGGACTTGGGATGAAGGCCTGGAGTGCCAGGACAAGGGGGAATGGCTTCCCACGGCCAGAGGGCAGGGTTAGATGGGATATGGGGAGGAAATGGTCCCCTGTGAGGGTGGGCAGGCCCTGGCACAGGTTGCCCAGAGAAGCTGTGGCTGCCCCTGGATCCTTGGAAGTGTCCAAGGCCAGGTTGGATGGGGCTTGGAGCACCCTGGGCTGGTGGAAGGTGTCCCTGCCCATGGCAGGGGGTGGGACTGGATGAGCTTTAAGGTCCCTTCCAACCCAAACCGTTCCATGGCTCTCAGTACTTTCCAAAGTTCCACCTCTGCCACAACAAGAGTTTTGGTTCATCACCCAAAAGGGCTCAGCAAAAGTGAGCCCTGCCCACCCCAGTGCTGGGACACAAACCACGCCCTCCAGCTGGGAATGCAATCAGGAGCAGGATCTAGCAGCCCAGGGTCCCAGAGAACAGCTGACACCAGCACCAAGTGCTCCCTCCTCCTGCTCCAGGAGCTCTCCACATCCCCAGAGCACCCTGATGTGGCTCCTAAAAACCAGGACCGGGGGAAATTCCCGATTCCCCACCAGACTTACCATCATGCTGTTCTGCTCCTGCCTCACCTCCTGCAAGATGCTGCTGAAGAGTTCCAGGTAATTCACATTCTCCTGGATTACATCAGCAAAATTTTCCCTGCAGGGGGGGGTTAAAAAAAAAAAGCAAAAGAGGACAAGATTTCAGCCACCAAAAGTAACATCAGAAGGTGGGAAAAAAAAAAACCCAAAACCCAAATCCAAACAACCCCAATAAGCTGATTTGTAGTCCTGTGCAGTGGTAGGAGATCCCTTGGTGTAGGATAAGCAAATCCAACCGCAAGGAAGAGCAACCAGATGGATTGCTTAGGCCTGACCCAAACTCCAGCCCTCCACTCCAACTGGGACTTTTTGAAACCACAGCAGTTTTAAGAAGGACTCAGCATGGCCTGATTTTTCTGGGACTTGCCAGAGGGGAGTTCCTGTGACTCCAGTCAGGAGCTGGGACATTTCAGCCTTCAGAGTGTGTCAAAACCTGCCTTCCCAGCTTATCCCGTGGGTGGAGGGGAGAGGCCGTGCCCTCAGGCCCCTGAGCAGCAGAGGGCAGGGTTCTCCTTCCCCAGCATTCCAGCATTCCTACCCTTCCTGGGGAGCTGGCAGTGAGGACAGAGGGTGGGCAGGGGCGTTCCCTGAGGAGCCCTGCGGGAGCCAGGCGGCTGCGGGAGTCGAGGCCGGCCCTTCCAGGCTGGAGCTGACCAGGGAGCGGGAGGAGCTCTGAGTCTGGAAGACACAAATCCATGGGCTGTGAGGGACAAAGGCAGGATTTAGGGTTCACTGTTCTGTAGGTTCCACATGAGCACTATTTGTAACACCGACACAGCCCTCACGTGTGGGAATTGGGAGATGGCCTCAGCTGGAGAGTCTCTGCTAATGCAAAATGAGCCTTAAAACACCCTCAGCTAAGCAGGAAAGCACCTCTTTAGCTTTTGCTTTTACCATCTCACACTGCCCTTCTCTGCAGAAAAAAAATCAACCAGGGTGTGGCAGTTGTGCCTTTTTGGTCTCCTCCCGGTTTCCTTTGATGTCTCCTGGCTCTGCTCCGGAAGGAAAAGCAAACAGACAATCCAACAGCTACTTACACAAGCAATTTTCAGCAAATGCCATATCTCCCTTTGTCTTTTTCCCTGCATCTGCATCACTGAGTTGTCAGCTTCCTTGATGTTATTTAGAGCCACTTCAATCTCAGGAAGCAAGTCAATGATCTTCTGCTTACAGCCCAAGAGCTTGCTGGAATAAAAACCAAGCACAAAAGTCACTTCAAAATCAAAAGCCTCACGTTGGGATTCAAGATACCCAAAGAATCAATGAACAAACCCCTGTGATATCTTCTCAGCTCTTACACTATTTCTTTTCTTAACTTAAGATTTCAATGCCAACCTAAGCACTCATTTTAAAGTGAACTCCTGGATCCTAACAGTGCAAGCCATTCCATTCTCATCCCCTGCCCCATTATCCACAAACATCAGTTACAAGCTTTGAAAAAGTGGAAATTCAACACAGGGAAGCAGAATTAATATTGGCAGGAGAAACAGGGATGGAGCTTTTGACTCTGACCTCTATGATTTTCACTCTCCTATCCTACTACAAAGCCACAAATGCCACCAAGTTGCATCTCTTTGGGGGTTTTTGTGTGCACAAAGTACCTGAGATGGCCAAAGAGCTCCTTGAGGACTCGGTCTTGGCTCTGGACTGTCTGCACAATGATCTTCACCATGTCTGTGCTGTCACTGTAGGCATGATCTGGAAGGGCCAGCAACCACCACATCAGTCAAATCAAATCCAGTGTTGTCTGGATTCGAGCTCAGAAAAATTCATCGTGGGGTACAAGTGTGAAACAGTCTTTAAACCATCTCCTTCCATACCTGGAGGTCTTGTTTTTAATTGCTTGTACAAGTCTATGGCTCTCTGTTCCCTTTAAAAAGAAGGACATGATTTAGACGTGTCAAACAAGGGGGGGACTCAAGAAAAAAAAAAAAAGCATTGCAATGAAGTGCTGCCTTTCTGAACCTCAGACCTTGGAGCTGCCACCTTCCCTTACAGCTCCTACACGAGCATGACTTTTGGGACACAGGGATGCTCTGTGATGGAATCCAACACTTCCCTAGAAGCCGTCCCTCTTTTTTTTCTCTGAATTATGCATTTTCTTCTCATAAAACCACACCAGGTGGAGGTTATTTTCAGTTTCAAATTTTCACATGCCCCAGCTGTGTTTTCTTTCCCTGATATCCTTAAGTTATTAAACTTCATTTTTGTAACTGTAACTGCACAGCTGCCTGAGAAATTCTTGTTCCTGTTCTGCATTTCTTTGCTTGAATCTTACTCACATTCTGCAAATGGAAAGAGACAGTTGTGTCACAGACAAGAGGACATTGTTTCTCTTCTTCCCACTTAGCTCTTTCATATTCTAACACTTTAAGCAAACCAACCAAACAAAAAAAATCCATTTCCAAATATTCCAGTACCCACAAGTGATATTTACCCTCGCTTTGAAAACACGCTGAAGATATTTGGCAGGGTTTTACAATGATCTTGTGGCTTTCTCACTCAGCACTACAAAAGTCACCCCTCTCCAAAGCAAAAGGAAATCCTGAGGTGAGATCCAGACATGTCTTTGGCACAGCCTCTTGGGAGACGAGGCTTCATAGATCAGTGACAGAGAAGTGTCCCACAAGGGGTGGGACCTTCCTCTCCAGTGGCAAAATGATCTTGAACAAATCACACTCTACTCTGCACTGGCAGTTTGCATTGCAAAAGCACTGAGGGAACCAGCAACAGAAGGGGAAAAAAAAGCCCCCCAAAAATACAGAAAATCCATTTATGTGCCATAAAAATAAGAAGCAGAGGACTTACAGGCTCTCCATGACCTCCCCCTGGCGCCTGGCATAGGGACTCTTCTGCAGCTCCACGATTTCTGTGTGCAGAGCCATGATCTGCTCATCCAGGTACCCGATATCTTCAGCCTAATGGCAAAATGGAGGTTCAGATCACACTGAAGGAGGGGAGCAATCAAGCAGATAAAAATGCCCAAAACACCTCTTTGGATAATGGGCTGCCTCCTTGG